CTTTTTTTTTTTTTTGGGGGGGGGGGGGTGGATATTGGTGGTATTTTAGAAATAAGTGTTTCTTTATATTAAAGCAAAACTGCTTTGAAGATCATTCAGGTGAAAAAAGTAGTAGCAGAGGTACAATTTAGCTTGAGTGATCTGGGAAATTATGGGCTCTGCTCCCATGGGAGATGCCAGTCCCAGGGCCAACTCCACATATGTGGGCAGGATACGCCTCCCCCTATTGCAGCCATACTCTGGTTTCTAAACCTGATATCTGGAACTAGAATTAGTTTGCCACCAAGAACTGGAAAACTGGAAGATCATTTCTCTAAGCCATGGAGCTGAACAGCTGTAAATCAAGTTAGAGTCACTAGGGTCACCTTGCCCCCCAGCACATGCCCCACAATCCTGGGGGTTCTCAGCAGATTGGGTTTTGCTTCAGCTGGAGGTTATTCTTGTTTTGTGGGGTGCTTACAAGAAGAAAATCTAGTTCCTGGCAAATAATACCAGAGCCTTATGGAATTTTTTATACCAACAGAACTACAGGGAACATTTAGCTTGTGATCTCTACAAGTTTATAGACCTATCCCAGCAAGAAAACAGCTGGCAGTTCCTCTTCATTATACTCCACTTGGGGGATATTAAATACATTTATCTGATCCAATATTTACTGTGGAGCAACCATGTGTGAGGCATTGAGTTTCCCGCCCCAATCATTTCCAAAAAATGGCAACAGCTAACATTTGAGTGCTTACTGCCTACTAGGAATGACCTCATTCAATCCTTGAACAGCTTTATGAAGGAGGTGTGATCATCAGCTCCGTTTTACAGATGAAGAGGCTGAGGCTCGGCCCAGCCACGGTGTCTAATATCAACGTTGGTGCTCGTCACACCACGCCATGCCAGCATCCTCTCTGCTCTTAGGAGCAGTTAAACCTGATCATCCCTTTCATTCAAATTGGACACTTAAAGACATGGTGTTAAATGTGTGATCCAACCTGTCTGAATCCAATGACCCCCGCCTTGGTGGCAGGTCTCTAGTGCACTGCTCTCACCTGCCAGCTGGCGGGGGCGTGGGTGGGGTGGATGACGACTGCGAGCAGTCAAGGACAACAGTTAAGAGTGGTAGATTTACGTAAGGCCATGGTGACAGACTAGGGGGCCTGCAGTGTCCTGGAATACATGGCATGGGGCCTCACTCACAACTGTCTCTAGCCCCATCTCTTGGTGCAGTTTGGGACCGGGGACCAGAGGTGGGTGCTGTGGTGAGAGTTTTGCCCCAACTTCACCCACCCCCACCCTTGGGCTTTAATGTGGTACTGAGGGAGACTGCTTTTCAGCCACTTCCTAGGCCAACAGATTTAGAAGAAGAGGCAGGCAGTGGCGTGCTCACTTTCTGAGGTTAAGGTAACCAGCCTTCTGGATGAGGTTCCTGTTGATCTGTGGTGCAGCCACATCAGAGTCAGGAGTGTAAACAGATTCATCGACGGAAAGTAATTCTTGCTGGGACACCCGCATCTTTTCTGCTTCGGTTTCCAGTTCCACCTGAATGCTTAAGACAGAAGGAGGTAGGTCAGTCACTCATCGTCAGCCAACCCAGCACTGCTAGGAAGCAGCTGGCAGAGCCATCACCACCCCCCACCCCCAAGGCTTCCTTCTTGACAACTGTAGCCAGCTCCTACAAGGCCACAACCATCCACCCTCTAATTTAGCTAGAGATCATGGGCAGAATGATCATGATCACTGAATTCTGCATCACTCAAAGTGTTATATGACAGCTGTTTTAAAAGAGCACGTAAGGAATACCACTGAGCTATGCCAGAACCCAGCTAAACAGTTTCACTGCTGACAATGTAGTATCCATGCTCAGCACTGTTGATGCAAATTTTAGGAGAAAAGTTTGATGAGCCCATCCTCAGGGGCTGCACGTGCAGGCGGCTGGTGAGAGTCCCATAAAGGAAAGAATGAAACTGTAGTCATTCCTGCCCCACTCTTGGTCTAGGCACCGATGGTGGAGATGACCCCTGGAGATAAAAAGATGACCAGGAAGTGACATCAAACTGCAACAATCAAACTCAGGGCAATGCTTTTCCTTTTCTGACTGCCATACAACTGCCTGTGACTGTGGGGCTAGCTGGTCAGGGGCTGCCAGCGGGAGGCCGATGTCCAGGCTCTGGGACATTAACCCCTGGCTTTCAGGTACGTGTGTGCTGCGGTGTGGAAAATCTGGAAGTTTTAGCTTGAAACAACAGCTGCCCTTTTCTCCACAGAGGCAGGCCGCACCAGGCTACCCCACCCAGTGGTGACAGTCCTGAACACAGTCTGCCCAGCACAGCCCATCCATCTAGGAAGGCAAACTTTAGAGTCCTCACTTTAGAGTTAGAGGAGGTGTTCCACTTCTTCACTGTGTTAGGGGAGCAAGACAGAATTGTAAATGTTAACATCAGAAGGGACTGGGGGCCAGTGCTTCTCAAAGTGAGTTCTCAGGATCTTCTCTATTCTGTAGTTAAGTAACTTTCCCTATTCTCCTCTTGTTTAATGCAGCTCCACGCAAGCAATCAATCTAAATTAATTTTGGCATTTCTTACATTTGAAGAAATGTAAGGGATGATTAGGGACTCCACCACTGGTGACCAGACAGGCAAGCTGGAGAACAAACCTCACTAGCTTAACCTGCTTGTCACTGCCAAGGCCAAGAGAATGGAATGAGAAGGAAGCATCTAAGCAGCACAGAAGGTGAAAGGTTGGAGTTGACTAGACAGACAAACCCCTAAGTTCTTAAGCTTTCGTGGGTGAGAAACCTCTTTGAGGATCCGAAGAAAGAGAAGGATCATCTGTCTGCCTCAAAAAATGCTCTGTGTACCAAGTGACATCTAGCACACAACTTCAGGGAGTTTTTACTAACTGCCCTGCCCTTCCACCACATACAGACTCAGGCTCGAAAACTCTGAGCTAATCCAAGGCTCCCAGTAACTAACCGAACATGGTCAAAAAGTAACTGCTTTCAGTTAGTTCTCTTCAAGGTTTTTTTTTTTTTAAAAAGCATGGTTCATTTAATCTAAAAGAATATATATTTATATATGTATACATATATATACAAGCAGCAGAAGAATCCAAGGGAAAAAGTAGAAATATATCACTGTGGGGTTAGGGACTAGACAAAGCCCCTGGCTTCGTGTGGTGGCAAGAGACGAAGCTACCACGTCTGGATTTCCGCTGGGTTCTGAATCCTCTCACCCCTTGAGGACAGCAGAGCTCCTGAACATCCATCTCCCAGGGGAAGGCCTGCAGAGTTTTAGTGCCAGCACCAGACACTGTTCCGAGGCCTCTCTGGGCTGGCTGCCAATGTGTGGCAATGTGGCAGCAGAACCACCTCCTGGTTTGGAGAAGAGTGGCCACATTTATCTGTTCACCAATATAAAATTTGAGTAAGAGGTAAACTAGAATTCCTGAACTGAATGCTTTCCCTGTTTGAAGCAGGAGGCTCAAGTGCTTCAAGATTCAGTTGCGGAGCCCCACCTGCTGCCTGTTACCCTGGAACTAAATACACTTTGTCAGCAACAGAGGGACGACTTGCAGAACCAAACCCAGCCCCCATGTAGCGCAGATGCAGGCTCTGACTTTAATACCCGGGCCACGGTCCCGTCAGGGTGGCTAGTGCCACACTTTGCTTGGCCTGATAATGGCTCACAGAAACACTGACAATGGGGAAGCCAGGCTCTAGGACCTACAGAAAGAGTACACTATGGCATCTCAAACACAGGGCACAAATGTCCTGCCATCCATTAATAAACTAATCCAGAACAAGAAAAAATGTGTATAGCATGGATTGTTCTCCCAGAAACACAGAAAGCCAGGGAATTCTGAGAGTTAGAGTAGGATGAGAAGAGACCATGAAAGACAAGAGGGAGGTACTGATAGAAGGCCACAATTTAATAGGCTCTCTTCTTTTACTCTCTCCCAGGAGCTACTAATCAAATTAAAAGGCAAGAAAGTGAAATCAGGTTTCACAAATTGCTATTTAGCATAATTATAAATCTAACCTGCATCACTCACTGCTGCCAGCTGTCAGGAAAAAACAGCTGGGTGACATTTGGGAGTAAACGCTTTCCATTTTCCCCTCGCGTTTGTCTGAACGCTCGGCGCTGGTCTTTGTTGGGATTCATTCTTTACTTTAGGTAGACTGTGCCTAAATAAATTCCACTGTTTGGCCTTTGTGAGATATTTTGAAATACCACATCTTGAAGAAAATGAGCAAGTTTCTCTGTACTTTTCCACATAAAACTTTATACTCATATCTCCTTTGTGTATATTTATTTGTCAACTGTATATACACACACATAGAGACCATTTCTCCACTCTGGAAATCACACTGAGCCCGAGGAACCTCACAGCCGTGCTCTAAATGCAGCAAGCCTGAGCTGCAGGTGCTGGTGACTGCTCAGAGCGCACATCGGGGACTGGGGACGGAGGCAATGGAGTCTGGCCAGCCACAGCGCCAACTGAGCATGGCAGGACCGTCTGAGGACAGTGACGTGGAGTTTTGTAAAATAAGCATTTGCAGTTTGTGAAGTTAACTCAAGAAAGGCAAATGCCTCGCTTATGTGATGGTTACAGTTTCCTGCGCAGTGCAGCACTGCTGACTGCTAATCCCCTTAGCTCTCAAAGAAAAAAAGCAAAGAGCTCTTTCAAATCCACAGCAAATCTCAACTGGACTCACAGGCTTATAACGTGGGCTTTGAATATTCACAAAAAGAGATTCTGAGAACAGAGACTGGTACTTAATGGAAAAGTACCATGTGGACGTTTTCATCATTTATTTAGCCTTTTAATATGATGGGGAGGCCTGTAGGCTGCATGCAAGTCGAGAACTGCAGAACCCCTACTCTTTGTGTGCCACAAATATTCACAAATAGCAGCAGCTAAGGTGAGGGCGCTGTTTCTGAGAGTTCATGGAGTGGACAGGGGTTCTGTGGGACCCTCCACAGCCGGAGCCCTCCCCCACACCTTCCGGAGATACCGATTCAGGAGGAAAGGCAAAAGGCACACAAGACCCAAACCAGAGTGCAGCATTACCTTTGAACCATGTCTGCAACAGAAGATAAAAAGCTGTCCATCCTTCTGGAAAACATCTCTGCTCCTTTCTTGAAAAAGTTAATCTGAAAGATATAATTGTGGCACTCTGAAAATCAGCTGGGGAAGGGGATCAGTGAGTTCATTAAATGTGAGACCCTCCTCATCCACAGCACTTGCAGCATCCCTGCTTAGTCTCCACCACACTGGGGGAGAGTTATTCCCAAAGTCCCAAGTGCATCTGTTAAATGCAGAGAGTGGAGCCTCCCTATCTTCTTGAAAGGCTGTCAAGATCAGGAATAATGTCAATTAAGTGCTTTGTACATCCCAAGTTTTGATAATTACTACTGATGATTATTTTTGATATTAGTAGCAGCAGCAGCTTTTTTGTGTGAATTCTAGACAGTAAGTTTCTTGAGGGCAAGGATTAAGTCTTATTCACCTTTGTATCTCCAGCACTAAATGGGTATGTGACATATGACAGATGCTCAGCACCAGGAAGAAACTGACAAGCACTTGCTGATGTGCAGAAGGAGTTGTTGACCCCACACTGAAGGCCATCACCTGACTGAGCCAGCTCTCAACACAGGCTGGCTGGCTGGTGACTTGGCTGAGATGCTGCAGAGGGAAAATTGTGCTAAAGACCCTTAAAAGCCTCTTCTAACCTGTCTATCAAATTGAAGATTATGTAGGTAAAGGACACAGCAGGGCCCTGGTACCCTTGACACAGGTGAGGACCCCCCCTCCTCCCCAGTGTTCTACAATGGATGCTTTCTCTGGCCAGGAGAAAGCAGCCTCTAGGAGACCTGGGAAATATACAATTTGAAAAATGAAACTGTAGGTTGCTTGCTTCCTACCAATGGAAGGAATTCCATACTTCCTATGACTCCTGTATAAATATTCACTTCCCAGAAAGTCTGGGTCCCCTGCCAAACCTTGAAGGGCAGGGATATGGGAAAGAGGAAGAACACCACTCTGGGCATTACTGACATTTGCACCTTGAAAAGCTCAAGGTCCCATTCTTCTTATGGCTATGGCTTTTAAAAAGCCTGGACATTAGGTATGAACTGCTCTATTTCACATGCCTGCTGGTTGAGAGGTAACAGTTGCAAGCCTAGGTCATGAAAAAAAGAGAAAACATTCAGTGTGGACCTGGGTATTCTCTCACTTGTCCCCCAGCTCATCTGTCTGATCCAGAAGCCCACCTTGCCCCGGGTGGTGGGCACAGAAATCGACCCCTCACCCCGAGGAGGCTAGTTGCTGTGATCAGCATGATTCTGACATCCTTACCTCTGTTCCCCAGACACCCTGGGAAAGCAGGTATACCAATGCCCTTAGTTATCACAGGATAAAAATAGATGATTGTGATTATCCTGAGGCAGGTAATACCTGCAGGGGGTGTTCTGGCCCCATAAACTGAATCATACAGAGATCAACACTGTAAATGCCACTTTGAATCCCTGAAATGTTAACTATCAGAATGATACTAGTCATTTAATATCATTAACATGTTAAATGAGAGCATTCTGATTCTTCGTTTCTAAAGGCACAACATCATGGTGGCTTCTCTTCTTTCCCCTCTGAACTCCTTTGGAATTTACGCTCCAAGGCCATGTCGTAGCTCTTCTACTATTCCGTAAGCTCCTTAGGGCAGGGCCTCCCAAAATCCCTAATAAATCTGATGAATGGATGAGCAGAAGGAAAGGATAAGATACTGGCTTCTACAGCCACATTACGACTGGCTGGTTAGCTCAGTTGGTTAGAGCTCAGTGTTATAACACCAAGGTCAAGGGTTCAGATACCTGTACTGGCCAGCCACACACACACACACACACACACACACAAAACACTTTCTCAGGCTTTTAAAAAAATAAATAAAATCAAAAGCTACAGCCACATTACATAGTGCTCGCCTTGTCAATAGCACACTAAAGATCATTTATATCTTCTCAAAAAACCTGCACACAGATTATAAACCTTCAGCTTGCAGGCATGAGGACTGAATCATGATTTAATTGAAAACCTATTGAACCAGGGCCAGACAAGTTCGGAATGGAGTCAACACACCTCCACAGAGGTGGGTGGTGCTGAGAAGGCTGATTGCATCTTCTCCAAATGTGCCTTAGTGAACAGCAGGAAGTGCCATGGTCATAAAACCATCAGGAAACAAAGAGGGATCAATAACCATCGATTTCACAGGACAATGAGGCAGGAGAGCAAATGCTTCTGAATCAGCCAGAAGGTCCAGGGTGATGGCACATTTGTCTAAGAGAAGGAGCTACAGTTTTCATGAAGATTATAAACAGTCTGTAGGGTAAGGAGCTACTTGGTCTTGTGTCTTGAAATCTGGATATGAAATCTTCGTATGAAAAATGAAACATGCCATCCTCCGTCCTCAAAACGGCTGCTCCTGCTGTTCCACATGACGGCATGCTCTGTCGTCCTAGGCCCAGGGCTGCATCTGTGCTACGGCACCCACAGCCTCCTCTTCTCCCTGTGGCCAGCAGCACTCAAGAAGACCAGGCTAGGGGAAGTGGTATAGACCTTGGCCCTGACAGAGTGGACCCAGCTGGTATCAAACCCATCCTTTAGGCCTGGTGAAGACCCTCCTCTGACCAACTAAGCCTGACAGCACTGACCCATCAGGACTGGAGGTGTTCATCTTTCTGACCCTCCCTGACCCTGGACCTCTAACTGAGCAAGGATTACTGCCCCAAAGGCAAGGATGGTCAACCTAGGGAGGGCACAAGTGACAGGAGGTATTAACCAAAGAGAACGAAGACAGTACTGGCATTCTCCAACAAAGCTGGGACATTCACCAGGTCAGAAGTACAGCACTTAACTGAAGGAGAGAAAAGGGAGACAGAGTGTGGGCACACACCCATACGCACAAGTGCGCATCACGAGGAGGCTGGATGGCTCCTAAGGATTTGCCGGGACTGAAACCCACAGCTGGACAGTGCTAGTTTTTGGTTTAATCCAGCTTTACTCAGATGACACAGAATGATTGTATTGTCCTATTTAAGTGTTACCTCTGAAGGCATAAGCTGATTTAGAGAACTCGCCATTCAACAGTGTAACAACCATATTAAGACTACAGACAGCTGAGGTTGGATGCTTCAGGATTTTATCTTGTTCCCCTTCTCCTTGAATGAAATTGATGTTGAGGGTTTTTTTTGAAATATATACATTTTAAAAATATATTATAAAAGCAATAGATATTGGTGTTTTTTTTGATTTTGTGTGTGTGTTGTGTTTTAAAGAGTTAGTGACTTTTTTCTTATCAACAGGTTGCTTCCTCACGTGCCTTCCTGTTCCTCAACTATCAACTGAGACAAGATTCCTGCATGCATTTCTCACATGCTGGAGTAGGTTTCAGAGTCACCTCAGTGGGTGCACGGCAGGGGTGGAAGGTGACAGGGTGGTGCCACCAGCCTCCCATTCATGCTCACTCTTGTCCCTACCACCTGGTGCCATAACAGTCAAGTCCCCATCCGTAAACAGGAGCCTCCCTTAAGCCAAATATTCAAGTAGACCACTAAACAGGAGGGAAGAAACTAAATAAAGTCTACAGAAGACTTTATAAAGTACTGGGAGAACTTCCCCATGACCAGATGCTAAGGCGCTGCAATATCCTGAGATGTGTCCTTGGAGAATAACACAGCTGAGGACAAGCTTCCCAATATGAGTAGCCGAGGGATGTGCAGAACCAGGCTGTGCGCTAGCTATCCCAACCTCAGCAGTAAGCTGCTTCCAGGAAAACCGCATCAGGCCTGGCTTTCACTTGGATCAGAGACAAACGGCCACACAGGCACCTCCCCAAGATAGGCGTGGGATCCAGGCCATCATTTCCTGAGCATACGCCCTAACAAGTCCAGCTAAAGATGATCCAGCCCAAATGGAAGCTCTCCAAGGGCCGAATCCCAGAAAAATTCCAGGAGGTTGTGCATTTGTGTTTCTTTCTATGATGATGCTTCAGTTTCTCCTAGCTGCTATCTCAGCAGAATGCCACAACTGGCTTAGCTCTTACCTGTCAGGGGAAGCGCCTGCCTTACCTGTCCATGGGCAAAGCCTATCATGGGCTCCATCATGGCCATCCGCTTCCTGTACTGCAGCGCGTTGAGGGCACAGTAGTACTGAAGGGATGAAAGATGCTGTTTCCGCCGTGCAGCTGCCACCTCTTTTCCAATTTCAGTCTTCACCTGATGAAAAGGTGAAAGGAAAACTTCAAGTTGTCTACTGTACGCGACAGTTCTGTAAGAGCATGCAACTTCAAAACGTTTGTTTATTCATTATAAACATTTTTGTGACAAATATAATAAAACATAGATAAGGGCTCACCTCAACTTAAAAAAAAAATCCAAATTACAAATATCAAAGTACTAGCATCTCAGTGTCTGCGAGGCTACACCAAGGTGAAGCCACTACTTTCCTGGTAGCAGCACAAAGTGCTAGAGTCCTTTAGGAAAACAATTTGACAGCAGAAATTGAGAGCCACAAACATTTTGGTTTACTCGTAAGATTGTATTCCAAGGAAATAAATTTAGCCCAAGGAAATCATGTAACAGAAGTAAAAAGTTATATGCATGAAAACATGCAATATTATCTATAGTACATACAGCATCTAGAATCAGTGTTAACACCTGGGGCAAGGAGTTCAAGTGAGCAGAGTGGTCTTTGAGTCAGATGACCAGATGAGGTACTGAGCTGAAGTTCAAATTGTGTGATTATAATTTTACAATGGTTCCAAGTTGGTGTTTAATAAACCAGTCTACAAAGTTAGAATAGAGAAATGGAAGTCTACATAGGAGATTCAGAATAAATAATTTTAATAGTCCACGTATAGGAAATAAAAGAAAAAAATTCATCAAGACACCTCGATGTCATGAATTCACAACAGGAAGACACACAAGGAGCTTAAGTAAATGAACTGAAAACTAACACGTAAAGGATTCTTACCTTTTCATTTTCCTTTTTTTTAGGAAGCCTGCTATATTTTGCCATTGAGAGGTCATGCTCTAAAAGTAAAGAGACGTTTTAGCATCCAGAAAGACCGAAAGGCAAGAATGTTCATTCAGCATCTCTTCCCACACAAATACCAAACCTACACACATCACTAAACCCAGGCACCAAGAATGGAGAAAAGACGCCTACCGTTGCTGGCAAGTCCAAAGAGATCCTTTAAAGTGCTTACTTCTGAACAAGAGAAAAGGAAACATCTTAGAGCAAAAAAAAAGAAAAAGAAAATGTGCCACCCCAGAGCTCCGCCCCCTCAGGTCCCCTGCTTTCATGGGCCCTGGCTGGGAGGCTGGCAACCTTGGTCTCACTGGAGCTTGTACTGCAGCTTCACCCACACCCAGTGACCCTGGCTGCCTGTGCGGCCCTTCCACTCCAGGTAGTGCTGGGGATCTGTGAAGGAGACGGCACTCTGGGGATGTGGGCTAGACAGCATGGTGGCCAAGCATGTTTCATCAGAGACCTGGAGGATAAACCTAAGTCTGATTCTTCAGCCCCAAAGTAGTGTGTCTTAATATGTCTTTCCTCAAGATGTAGTCAGGACTACATCCAGAGCCTAGAAGTTTCCTGTGGTTGCCATGTAACATCTGACCTATTAGAGGCATCACTGAACAAAAGAATATGGGGCACTTGTTTTAATGAAAAAATGTGATGCAATCTGTTTATACTGTACTTGCAACAAGCCAAAACCAGCAACTATTACCCCGCATGGGTACTACACCCATCACGCACTAAGTCAGCTTAACAAAGTCCGAGACCAAAAAAACCAAAAAGATAGAGCAGAGATTGTCCAAAATTATAAACTTAAAAACAGAGATACCTAAAAGAAAGTGATATTTTCTACACTTCTAACACAACTGATTTTTACTTTGTCAAACAAAGCAAAGCATTTCACATCTTCAGTGCTTTTCAATTTGCCTCCAAACTGCCTCCAGCCTTTAAATTTCTCTTCCCATTATTTTTACTCTTCTGATATCCGGCTGCTTGCGGACCTTCCCCTCCTGCACTTTTCTTCTCCCACCTTTTACGTCTTGTTGGAGCAGAGTTTTAGGGCTTTTTTTTAAAACTTATTATCAATTTTAAATAGCTTTGCTAATATCCATTGTGTTCTCATTCAGATTCAACGCTTGTATCAGTGGGTAAATGAAGAAAAGGCAGTGAAATGTAAGATAAACCACCACTGTCTAAGCACAGGGGATGCCAGAGTCTAATTTGGTTTTGATGTTCCCAGGTGTGAACTGGGCCAAACACTTCAAATATATGTCATGGTGTCATCAGAAAAGGATAATTTGATTAACTTTTTCATAGAAACTAAGAAGCTTCTCTTTTTACTACTAATGAGCAGTTTTATTCTCCCCCCCCAAAAAAAAATCACCATCCTGGACAAGTCCTGCTACTCCCTATGTTAAGTCACTCTGGATCAATGCAGGCCACTGTCATGAACGCTGTTGGGTACTCTCAATCCTAAGTCTCCTTCCCATAAACAAACCTGAAAGATGTAAATCTGACAACACAGGTCTCACGGGATGATTATTTTCTAACAGACTTGGAGTTTGCTTTAAAAATGATATCCCACACATTTCTAACGATGTTATTTAGAGGAAATCTTTTTAGAAAGGCACCCAGGAGGCTTTCAGTTAGTACTGGATAATGAGCATGACTGCATTTAGTAGGTTTTGTCTTCACATGCAATTGCAGATGAGCGACACTAAAAAACACTAAAATTCCTGCTCAGTCAAGGTTTCCTTTTATACAAGCTAACTGATATATGACTTCTTCTTCTTTTTTTTTTTTTTTTAAAGATGACCGGTAAGGGGATCTTAACCCTTGACTTGGTGTTGTCAGCACCACGCTCAGCCAGTGAGCGAACCGGCCATCCCTATATGGGATCCGAACCCGGGGCCTTGGTGTTATCAGCACCGCACTCTCCCGAGTGAGCCACAGGCCAGCCCGATATATGACTTATTTTGTATTTTTAGTTTTACTGTTGTTAAACTGGCCTTAGGTAGAGTGTGTGGTGTTTCTACCTGTGCTCCCAGTATCAGGTGACATCAAAGAGAGGAAGAAAACAATCTTCATCTTTAAGATTTGCCCTTAGATTTACTGCATCTTTTCTGCCTAAAAAAATATTTAAGATTATATATACCTTTAAAAAGGAAGTACTATACTGAGCAGATCTTTTAGTAGCCAGGTTTAGGCTTTTTTTGGTCAGCAGTTTTTTATATCAGTGTTGTTCTTCTAGAAAATACAATTCTTTAATCTCTAAGTAATAAATATTTTCAATGAAATAAGAATAGGGCTAGAAAACATGGAGTCCCTTTTCTAACATCAACGGAGTTTTTTTTTTTTTTTTAAGATTTCATTTTTTATATTCATTTTTTGACTACCTTAATTTTTAAGAGATAAAAAATTATTTAAAATTTTTATTTCAGTTGAAGAACAAAAATTAGTCCAAAAGGCTACCAGGCTGTCTGAACCAGTCACAGATTCTCTTGCTCACTAAACGTGAGCTCCGTGAGGGCAGGGACCCTCTCTGCCCATTCACAGCTGCATCCCCAGAATCTAGCACAGAGAAAGCATCGTCCCAACCCCATCCTTCCCTCTCCAAGCCCCTCACATTACACCCCAAAGCATTCATGCTCCCTCAAGAACAGCATGCCTTTATAAATGTCCCCTAAGTTGTAACATAAGACTTAATAATGTTGTCTACTTTGTAAATATTTATTCACCTGTCAAAACCCAGCTCAATCAATCACCTTCTCCAGGAACCCTTTCCTGGCACCCCAGCCCCAAAAAGGTAATCACGCCTTTCTGTGTGCTGCTTCTATTCCTTGTCCATCTCTGTCCTGATGCCCTCATCACATGACATTACAATGATCTGTTGCCACGACTGTCTTCTTACTAGCCTGAGACCTCCTTTAGGTGAGCCAGGAATCAATAAAAGTTTGTGGAATCGAACTGCTCAAAAAGGAAGTCATTTCTCAATGATCCACACATTTAAAGAAATCACTGCAGTAAGAAATATTAGGTGAATTGAACAATATTTTGAAGGTAATTAGCACTGAACTCAGTTACTTTACCTGTGAGATCCTTTTCTCGAAATTGTATAATAGGTAGAACCATTGTGTCTGCCAACTGTTTAGCCAGCTCTGTATGGAGAACATTAAGCTGAAAGAAAGAGAACTCTATTAAAGAAAATTATATATATTATTACTGACAAGGTCTCATCTCACCAAGGGATCGCACTGAACACTTCTGTGTTGTTAAAGAGCTCAGTTAGATTTCCTTAGCAAATAAATACCCTCCACAAAGCGATAAATGATATAGGCGTAGAGGTACAAAAATGAAATGCAAGTTCTAACTGAAGCTTACTAAAGGAGTCTCTGAGCCCACAGTTACTCTGTTCACTGTGCAGACTCTGGTTCTGTGTTCTCACTCTGGGTCTCACCCCGCCTGCAGAATGGGAAGGCTTGTATGTGCTGGCAGTGCACACAGACTGCTCCCATGCCCAGACCCTGGTTCTGTGTTCTCACTCTGGGTCTCACCCCTCCTGCAGAATGGGAAGGCTTGTATGTGCTGGCAGTGCACACAGCCTGCTCCTGTGCCCAGACCCTGGTTCTGTGTTCTCACTCTGGGTCTCACCCCGCCTGTAGAATGGGAAGGCTTGTATGTGCTGGCAGTGCACACAGCCTGCTCCTGTGCCCAGACCCTGGTTCTGTGTTCTCACTCTGGGTCTCACCCCGCCTGTAGAATGGGAAGGCTTGTATGTGCTGGCAGTGCACACAGCCTGCTCCTGTGCCCAGACCCTGGTTCTGTGTTCTCACTCTGGGTCTCACCCCGCCTGTAGAATGGGAAGGCTTGTATGTGCTGGCAGTGCACACAGACTGCTCCTGTGCCCAGCACAGCTCACACCTCACCCGTCAGCTCTCTTGCTCTCAGGAGGCTGATGTCACACCTGAAAGACCTACTAACCCTAGAACCTCAGCTGGCCATAGGCCTGGGAACTGCCCTGGAGAAAAAACGCTCTCTACCAAAACAACTCAGCCAGCCTTCAGGCCTTTGCTCTCTAGAAAAGGACCTTTGTAAGAACAAGATGACTATGTGAATGTGATGCTTCTCAACAGATCATTTTAAAGCTCCTGATTCTTTCTCCCCTTCTACCTCAAGGACTTACTAAATCCTGTCTTTGCAATGGTCTAGGAAAAGTAAAGTTATCATCATCAGCGCTACCATTTTTGAGCACTTTTTGTGTGCCAGCTTCACACAGGTCATACCATTTAGTTTTCACCCACTCTGTGAGTTAGTTATTTATTATCCTCACTTTACAGACCAGCAAATAACTCCCCAAATCCAAAGAATGAATAAACGGCTAGATGGGGATTTTAATCCTGGCTGTTGGGGACTAAAATTCACGGTCTTTCCACCACACAGCCTGCAATATAGAGTTTGTCCTTCATGCTCACAAAGATGCCAAAACTTCATGTGTTTGCTAGTTTAGATGTCAGCAATGAACACAGTAGAGGGGATTCTCCCTCTCAGCCAAAGACTCGCAGATGTTCTGGAGGATGTTTGGGGATCCCTACTGGAAACTAAGGGGAAATCACTCAGCAGTGATTTTGCCAAGTCAACACTTGGCAAAGTTTCCTTCAGCAGTGATAGCAGTCACACATATGCACCACTCTTCTGCACAGAGAGATCCCAACAGGCCTGACCCTTCGGGGCTGTGCTGCAGAGGCTACTCTGATGAGCTTAAAGACTCGTCAACCATTTGCCAGGGAAGGGAACTAGGACAGGCTGTTAATATTCTCCCCATCTCTCAATCAAGTGGAAGCATGGCAGCTTTATTCTGCTGGGAATACATGAAGACAGCCACGTCAGTAAATGCCACCAGGATAGAATGTGTTAACTATTTTTCCAGAATAACTTTATAAGAAATGTGTGGTTTTGCATTAAGAGTTAATTGAATGAACACTGACCAATATACTTGCTATGTGCTTGGCTCTGTGCTAGATGCTTTGATATATGAGAGGCTGCCAAAAAGTTCATGGAAAGATTTGTATTATCTTTGAATTCCATTTTCCACAAACTTTTTGAAGTACTCTCATACACGATTTAATTAAATCTACAGAACAGCTCAATTAAGTGAGCTTCCCTGCTGCACTCACAAATGAAAAACATTCATTTGTAACATCTCGGAGAGAGGAAATGGCTTTCCAGTGGTTTTGTATTTCGGAACAGCAAATTTCCTAGCTACTCATTTTCTTCCTAAGGATCAAGGGGTTTGTGACATCAATTTTTTGCCTTGGGGCTTTAGAGATGTGTGAGATAATCACTTCTTACCACAGCACCTTTGCTGAGGAAAGTGGAAAGAACATGGACCACTGCTTAGCACTTCAGCATCGTCACACAGAAAATGGGGATAACACCATCTTCCTTGCACGGCTAAGACACGTGAGGATAAGACATGAATAAAAAACACTCAGAGCAGAGTGCCTGACACATACATACTCAGAATTTGCTCAAGGAAATCTGTAATGATGACAACCTCGTGTCTCAAGTGCACTCGAAGGAAGTGATCCAGAAACCTTGCTTTGGGGGAATTCACCATGCACCGAAATCTCTGTATGACTTACAACATGGGAGGGAGATCTCGTTCCAAGGCAATATGTTAAACATAAGCCACAAAATCTCTATCTTTAGTTGGGTTTTTCTTTCATTTCTGAGTCATATTACCTGTCTTGAAATTTTTTCAACCTGGTTTAGCCCAAGCTGAGAAAGCCTGAAAAGCAACTCTCCTCTTCCCAGATACAGACCCCACCTGACCTAGCTGCTTTCACTCTCGTAGGTCTCTATATCAAGAGGCTTGTTTTCAAACTCCTTACAGTGCTGGGCTTACAGGTTGCCATGACACTACCATAGAACTGTGCTTCCATCCTTTGGGAATGATTCACTCCCCACTAAAAGAATCATCATTCCTGCCCATGAAAGTATGGTTGTGAGTAAATATTTTAAATTGGAAATCCTGGTTCTAAGGTTTTGACAATTAACCACATTTCCTTGGCAACTCTGTGCTACTCAGGAAAAACACATGACTTCAGTGGGTACAGTCTATCGCTCTCCCTCTGGGTTGTCTATTCACTGTTAAGAAAAATTCTGTTCCTTGCCTTCCAAACATCACTTTTTACTTCTCTTTAACCACAGTTTCTACTTATCCTCCATCCATTTTAACACACATTTTAGAGAGAGCCACAGTAGTGGGAATGATATTATGATATAATAAAAAATATATCTGGTCTCTGCCCCGGGTTCCTGGCACAGAGCTCCTAAAACCCTTGTAATTTCCTGAGCAACAAGGGTTCTAGGAGCCTCTTTTGTTCTAATATTTGGTCTTTGACCCCAGTTTCTGACACAGAGCTCCTAATCCCTTGGAATTTCCTCAGTGACAGGCGTGTATTTTGTTCTAATGAGGTGACTCTTGTTGGGCTCCAGGATGAAGGCCACGTGAAAGACCACGCCTTGATTACAAGTTTGGAACTTTCGGCCCCTCCCCCACATCTTCTGGGAAGGGGAGAGGGGTGGAGATTGAGTTAATAATTGATTGTGCCTACGTGATGAAGCCTCCATAAAAATCCCTGGCTACAGGATTCAGGAGCTTCCAGGTTGCTGAGCACGTGGATGTGTGGGCAGGGTGGTGCATGCAGAGAGGGGATGGAAGCTCCCAGCCCTTCCCCATACCATTTCCCTATGCTTCATCTGGCTGTTCATCTGTATCCTTGTAGCAGCCTTTACAACAAACTGGTATATATAAGTGTGTGTTTCCCTGAGCTGAGAGCTATTCTAATCAATTACTAAACCCAGGAAGGGGTTGTGGGAACCCCAATTTATAGTTAGTCGGTCAGAAGTACTGGAGGCCTGGACTTGCAATTAGCATATGAAGTGGGGGGTAGTCTTGCGGGGCTGAACCCTTAACTTATGGGATCTGAGGCTATCTCTAGGTACAGAGTGTCAGAATTGAGTTAAATTGTAGGACACTCAGCTGGTGTTAAGAGAATTGATTGGTCTGGGAAAATCCTACACACTTTGGTGACTAGAAGGGTACTGAGGGTTGAGAACACAGCAGGAGAGAACCGTTTGTCTTTTTCCTACTATTCAGTGTGATAGAGGACAAAGCTCAATAAGAACTAGATGGCTGTTATATCCCTGTTATAGCCTAGAACAGTGTCTGCTAAATAGCAGGTGGTCAATAAATGCCTGTTGAATGAATAATAGCTGGTGGAACTGATTTGTTGAATGAATGAAAATGCAATCAATACAACTTTACATGCATGTTAGTTTCTCTTTTTGTAAACTGAAGACAGCATCTACTGCAGATCAATAATTGGAGAGTTACAGGACATCTGCATTCTTTTTTTAAAATTCTTTTTATTGTGGTAAAATATATGTAACATAGTTTGCTATTTTAACCACTTTTAAACATACAAGTCCAGTTTGTTGTTGTTTTTTTTTTTAGTCTTTATCACTATTTTCTATTATAAGTACTGCAAACTCCTTGAAAGATGAAACTGTTTATACCTACCTAATTTTTCAGAGGGTTCTACCTAGCACCAATAGCACTTGAGCTCTTAGATTTTTTATAATTAGGATTTATGCACTTTTCCTACATCAATACCTGTTATTCACAAATATTTCAAATGTATTATATAATACAGCTACAAGAACAGTTGTTTGACACCCTTTGTAGCGGGTTAAATTGTGCCCTCCCCCCAAAAAAGATATATCCACCCAAAATGTGTGAACATTTGGAAAAAAAGTCTTTGCAGATGTAATGAAGGATCTTGAAATGAGAACATTCTGGATTAACCAGGTGGACCCTAATCCAATGACAAGTAACTTTATAAGAAGACAAGACACAGACAGAAGAGAAAAAACTCTGGCAGTGGGGTGGCCATGTAAAGTCATAGTCAGAGACTGGGGCTATTCCAGCCAAGAACACCTGTAGCCACCAAAAGCTGGCAGAGGCAAGGAAGGATCTCCCCTAGGGCCTTTGGAGGGAGTGTGGCCCTGCACTGACAACTTCATTTCGGTCTTCTGGCCTCCAGAATTGTGAGAGAATAAATTTCCGTTGTTTGAAGCCACTTAGTTGTGGTAACTTATTATGGCTGTCCTGAGAAACTAATATATCCTACTTAGGGAACCTGAATTCTTAGAAATCTTGTGGCTTTTGTTGTTGTTGTTGTCTATTGCTCATGTACATTAAAGTCTTTCCCCTCAAACCAGAAACAAACATGATAGTGTAAAACTTCTCTTATGAAATGAACCTTGGAAGATACAAATCAAGATATCTTCTCAGATATGTAAACAGTTATTTAAAAATGGAAAGAGGGCCAAAGTAAAGATGAAAGGAAGTTCGAGGAGGAATCAAATAGAAATTTCCCACGTTGCTATCTTACCTCATCCACCACTTTGGAAAAATAGTGGAGTGTAGAAATTACTTCTTCATCACCTTTGCCAAGAGCGAAATTCTAAGACCAAAGAATAAAAGAGCCAGATGTTAACTGAATGCTCGGGAATTCAGTACTGCAGCATCACCCACAAAACACCACCCTCCGCAACTACTCCCTTTCTTCTCCCAAGAGCACCTCCTGTCACAAGTGTCTAGCTGAAGAAAACTGGAGCGCTCTACTCTGTCCTGCCCAGGAATACACTCAGCTGCCCTTCCCTGGCCATTCCTTCACTGGTCATTACCATTCTATCTGAACACAATGACATCATTATTTGAGTGTTTATTTCCTGGAATTGTTAGTATTGATTCACTTGTAGTCCTTTGAAGGCTATGACTCGTCAAGGGCAACTGGTTACTTCTACAGGCTAATTTGGGATAATCACCAGTAAGAATTCATTAGTGGAAAGGAAAAGAAAAGAATTATGGAAAAGAAAGAAAGAAAGAAAGAAAGGAAGGAAGAAAGAAATGAAAGTCTCTGAAGGATGCCTTTGGAGAATTCCTTTAAAAGAACTTCACCTAAGAGAGTCCTGAGAATAGATTAGCATCATAGGCCACATAAGTGTCAACTTACCTGTTTTTCATATGCCAGCAGTTGCTTAGAAAGCTGTTGAGTGGCGAGGCACATCTCATTCTGTAGGGAGAAGAGAAAGGCAAGTAAAATGTGTCCAGTGCACATAAAGTCACTGAAAAATGCTATCTCAGAGAACCCTTTAAAAAGTAGTATGCGTGTGTGCCTGTGAAATCATAAAATATTTTGTTCAGACTTTATTTGGGAAACAAGACCAAAACAAATCAAAAGGTTAGAGTTTGATTTTTTTTAAACCCTTTACAAATTGCCACTCCTTCTGGTCATCCAGTCAGTAAACAAATGTAGTGAGCAATTATAACATGCCAGACATTCAACAAAGACACAGTCCCTGTCCTCATGTAGTTTACTGGGGAAGCAGACATCAAAAACCAAAAAAAAAAAAAAAAAAAAAAAATAGCTGCAAGCGTGATGAGAACTGCAAATGAAAAATACCAGATGTGTTGGGAGAAGAAAGACTAGAAGTTGGCCATGGGATGAGCTTTCCATTAGGAGGGACCACCCTGTGGCAGCAGCAGACAGCCTGGCTGCAGGGCTGGGAAGCAGGGCAGAGCTGCTGCAAAGGGTGCAGCTCGGAGGTGGGACAAGGCTGGCAATGCAGGTGGAGCAAGTATGTGGGGCACCACAGGCCCAGACAGAGACATCGCCGAAGTGCAGTGGGTTTGGAAGCAGCACTGCCACATGATCTGGTTCCACCAGACTTTCAGCACCAGTTGGTAACGATGGACGGTAGCAGAAGCACGCTAAGCCCAAGTGTCCCATAAAACCCCAGGAAAGCACCGTTCCTTAATAGCTGCGAAGCCCTGGGAAAACCATATGCTGTTTTCACTGGCCCACACTGTCCATTTCTCTCTCCTCTTATTTATTCCTTTAATCTCTGGCCACACCGCGTCTACCACTATCCTCCAACCACGGATGCAGTCAGGCTAGAGAACATGTCATATCTCCAAAGCTTAGGGAAAGCTTCTCTTCAGATTTGGGGCTTATTCCTAAGAGGGGCAGAGCCACCGGGTCCGACCTAATGTGAATGAGGGGAGGCCACTGGCCTACCTTCTTGGCCTTGGTCTCCATGGACTTTCTATTTCTCCTGGGCTTGCTATTTCTTTAAGGCTAAGTCCTGAGCTCTGTGGGAGCTTGTTTTAATTTTTGTGGTCCTTCTTTGCAGGACACATCAGAGTCAAAATCCACTCTTTCTTTTTTGGCCCTCTTTGCAGACAACTGGCCAACCTGTCCCCTGACTTCCTCCATCTTCCCTAAGAACAGGCATTAACAGACCTTTTCTCCCAGAATAAAGTCAGGCAAATATAATGAAAGGTCCTGGCTTTGGCCTCCTATTGGTGTGCTACCTCTTTCAAAACAAAGTGGAAATGGTAGCCACATAGCTAAGAAGAAGGTAAGCGAACAAATCCACAAGCACTATGTCCTTCATTTAGACAGGAACATGCACATAGCAGGCACTCAGCAAATGTCTGATGGATGAATGGATGGATAAATGAGTGAATAAGGTTAGAAGATTCATCTAAATTCGAAGTTTAAAACAACACCTGGAATCATGGTGTGAGGGGAAAAAATACTTCCTAACCATAAAAGGAAACATCACAAAGGGAGGCAATAAAATACAAAGACTGGACAGGGATGAAGTAATTGACCAGGAAATACTGCCTGTTGACCATCTTCAGCAGAGTGTTGTTTTGAAGATCAGAGTGCATGCGAACAAAGTTCTTATCCCACTCACCGGGCTGATACTCTGCTATATCAGAAAATCCTTTGTTCCTCCTAAGTTAGTAGCAATGGGATTCAAGACACCTTGGCATCTGCCTGAGGGTAGCACAATGTGGAATATGATTTACAGACCCACAGAAGCATTATAACAATAGCAACTAACATTTACAGAGCTCTTAATTCATGCCAGACACTACACTAAATGTATTCCATGTATCACCTCATTTAATTCTGATAACTCTGTAATGCAGGTTCTAATTATTAACTCAGTTCTACAGATGAAGAAACTGAGGCATAGAGAGGTTTAAGTCACCTGCCCAAGGTCACACAGATATGGTGGCAGGGCTAGAATGTGAATGCAGATCTGTCTGATTCTAAAATCTACATTCTTAAATACTCTCTTTAAGATCCCAAGTCCTGCCAAGAGATAAAGAGATGAGAAGGCCTATGCTTTAGATGAGGGTTGGCAAACTTTTCCTGTAAAAAGCCAGATAGTAAATCTTTTTGGCTTGTGGGCCATATGGTCTCTGTAACAACTACAAAACCCTGCCCTTGTAGCACAAAAGAAGACATAAACAACATGTAAATGAATGAGTGTGGCTTCAATCCAATAAAACTTTATTTAAAAAATGAGACCCAGCCATTGTCACACTGTGCAGCGACATCTATTGGAAGGTCTTTTCCATTAGACTGGGAGCTCTTTGGGGCAAAGACCAAATATCTATATATTTCTGTGTCCCAATAAGGACCAAGAAAAAATAAACATATCTTAAAACAAACTGAAGTAATCACCTAATCTGCAAATCCCTGACTCCGGCATACTACAAAATACCTAGGGCATAATATATCTTCACTAGGTGATTACTAAAGTGTATTTTTCCATTTGAGCTGAGACAGCAAGGCTATATTTTTGATTTTCCTCTAAATTCTTGTCAAATAAAATTCTATTTACCCCTTCTAAATAAATTCTACACAAAGAGAAAAAAAATAAAAAAATAAAAATGAGAGGCCAGCATAAAAGCCATAGATTGCTGATTCTGCTTTTGACACTAAATGTCTCAATAAACCCATTCTTTTGCTACTCTCTCCTCAGGAGGCTCTCCCCTAAGCTATAATAGTTCAGATCCAGTGAACATTTTTTACTCTTAATTCATTCTTTTCTTTATTTTAGCTAACTCTAAAATATTACTTCTCCATATCTGCCTCCTTCAGAGACCGGTCAGCAAATATGATAACCACCCTCCATGCCTTCAAGACAAACAAGGACCATAGGCCACTTGAATTCTTCTCTAGAGCTTACTGGCAAGTGCTCCGAATGTAATGGAAGAACGTTCCAGGGAACAGCCAGCATCACACTGTACCCAAGGCTAAGGGGGCACCTCTGTGCCACTCACACAACTCCTCCCATAGCCCAGGAGAGAAGGGGCCCAAAATACAACACTTGATGCTGATTTCCAAAACTACTTGTACAATGGACTCTGCCTCGTGTCTCCTAGAAATGCCTTAGGAAAATTCCGCGTATTTTCATATGTGTGATATTTCAGGCTGCAAGGCCAACTAAGATTCTGTTCTACCAGTACGATTTCACTGGGAACCAACCATAGGTACAAAATGGCCTGTCACCTGCTCTGAACAGAATACTTACGTGAAAAGTTTTTTGAACTAGACCGACTTTAATCTTACTCATACTTAATCTATTGTACACAAAGGTTTTATGAAATGCTTTACCAACATCAGCTAATTAATCCACACCCTGTGGGGTAAGCCTGTACAATTACCTCTGCAACAAGACTTGCAAAACTAGAGCTTGGTAAAGAGTAAATTTTAGTAATAACATCAACAAAGATAGCTGCTAACATTTATTGAGTCCTTTCTAAGACATTGCTGTTAAGTGTTTTTCAGAAATTATCACATTTAATCCTTATAGTGCACCCATGAGGTAAGTACTATTACTATCTCCATTTCACAAATGAGGAGGCTGAGGTCCAGAAAGGATAAACAGCTTTCTAAAACCACATGACTAGTAACTGGCAAAGCAAAGACTCAATGCAGGTCTGCCAGACTCTAAATCTAAAGCCCAAGTTCTCATCACTATGCTATTCTGATCCAAGTTCCAAAACTACATCTGGTTAATACTCAGGTAGACAGACCTTGTAGGGACAATAGATGTGAACACAAATCCCATACTTTTCTAGCTGCAGTCAAACAAAAGAGGTGGCCTAAAATTTAGATTCTAAATGGGAGCTCCATGAGTAGCATTTTTTTTGGCACTCTGGAACAGCTATCTGGCTACTACCTACACTGTTTGTTTCCTCATGAAAATCCTTTAAAAGGACAACCTGACAAAGGGCTTATTGATAGTATCTCCTATGTTAAACAGAACCTCCCAAGGCTGTTGCCAAGGCAGAGAGACAAGTCACAAGCAAACCCAAAAGGAAAATTGAGCTTTTGGCAAAGGAATGTTTGTCTTACTGTGACACACAGAGCTAAGTGCAACTGTCACCTGAAACCACCCCAAGGCCCCTGCGGACAGCACCCTCCACAGTGAATATGCATGGAGAGGCTGGGGAGTGGGGCGGAGGAAATCCACTGGGAGTCAAAGCCAACACCTAGACACTTGCTTAGACCTATACCAAATATTTGGCCAGAGATGTTGCCTAAAGCTAACAGGTTGAAGTCACATTCATCACAGTGCTTACCACAAAGCTGGGAGTCACGGGTTGCATGAGTTCAGGAGCCCCCAAGGTGGGATGGGGTGCACACAAGGAGTAGGGAGGAGCGCGGCACGAATGCAGGCTGGAACCCCGCACTGGGGCAGGCCATGAGGGGATGCCCGCCGAGGGCTCTGGTTTTATCCTGGACCAACGGGAAGCCCTGAAGACTCGGGCAGGAGGATGGCAAGATCACTCATGAGTGGAAGAAAAATCACGAGTGGCTGTGCTGGGAAGGCAACACTGAAGTGGGAGAGAGAAAGGCTGAGGGAGACTGAGAACAGATGAGGGCGCCTGGTCAGGAAACCATCTGAAGAAGCTGAGTGCACGATTAAAAAAAGGGTCTGAGCCTTGGCCAGAAAGTGCAGGAGGTATCATAGGTGCAGTCCTGAGGCAAAAACAACAGGCTGCAGTGAGTGAGGAAGGAGGAGGAGTCAAAGATAACTGGGCTTCCAGTTTCGATGGCCAGATGGATGGCCAGTGCCTTTGGCTAAGGAACTGGGGGCGGGGTGGGGGGGAATACATCAGTTGTGATGTGCTGACTTTTAGGTGGAGATGTCCCAAATTCAGTCCTTCATTCAATAACTCTCTATCAAACCTTGAATGAGGACA